CGGTGCGCTGGCTCCAGAGTAGTGGGGAAGTGGCCCCACAGAACTGGCAGATCTTGTGCTTCGGCTCAGAGAGCCTTTCCAGACCAAATTGGGGGCAATCCCAGGGACGTGGAGAAAGACGGCTGGGGGACAGACTCCCCCAGGACTCACTTCTGCAGATCCTGCTGCTCTTCCCACCTGGGTTCCCTTCCCTCCAGGGGCAAATAGCTGAACGGACAGATAGGTCACAGGTCATCCTTGGGGAGTTCCCAGGCCAACAGCAGCCAATAGTTGCCAGAGTTCGTGGGGCCTGGGGGCAGCTCACCAGTATCCCTCCCCCATTGCGAATATCCTGTCATCTCAGCGTCCAGAAAACAGATACTGGCACTGTGAACCTGCCTAGGATCCCTCAAGGCCGCTGGGTCCAGTCTTGGATAATCCAGGCTGGGGTCTCAACACAAACATGAGAAATTAAAAGGTCAAGAGAAACTAGTGGTTTTCTCTCTCCCTTTCTGTATAGACTTTTGAGAAGTTAAGTGGACCTGACCAAGGTCGCACGAGGAAGTGATCCTGCCCTAGATTCTACAGGCTATCTGGCCCAGCTCCCTTGCCCTCCCTTTCAGTCTGTTTTCAACCTTCCTATACCAGCTGGAGGGAAAACCACGCATTTCATAGGGTTACACGAAAATGGTATGAAGTGCCTGGTCCGCACACAGTGAGTCACTGGAATGCACGCCATTGCCTCTTCGCCTGTCAGGCCTCTCCAGGGCCCTTTGTCAGTCCCAGCCCACTCACTGCAGCTTGTGGAATCGTTCAAACCCAGCAGCCGACATACTGCCTCCGTTCTGCAAGTCTGCCAGGTCGGTGACAGGGTGGCCGTGACCAAGCGTGTATGAGAGCAGCGGCACAGCCAGTGGGGCCTGCAACAGCGAAGTCACCTCGAAGAGAAGCGCTTCCATTCGTGGGAAAGCGCGTTGAGTCCACCACCCAGCTGGGAGCCGCTGGGAGAAGTGGGTCTCCATTCCGGTACCACCACTACCCTCCTTGGCCCATTGGAACCGCCATGGGTCCCCCCTCAGTCAGAGACGCAGAGCTCTGTTGCCAAGGCAACCAAGGGCAGGGGGGAGCGGTGCAATCAAAGTGGAGTCTGTGTCCTCTCACGCCGGACAGCAGGGGGAGTCTCTGGCAAGAGCATTTATAATTCTTAGCTTGTGTCCAAGGCGGTTTCATCGACCCAAATCTGTCCCTGGATGGAGCCCTCTCAAGGGTAGGATAAGATGACCATTAATGAAAAAGAGGCCAGGCACGGTGGCCTACTCCCTGTAATCCCTAGCACTCTTGGGAGGACTGAGGGGAGGATGCCACTTGAGACAAGAGTTCCAAGATCAGCTTGAGTAAAAGTCAAGACCTTGTACTCTACCTGAAATAAAAAAATAGAAAGAAATTAGCTGGGTGTGTGGTTAGTGGTCACCCTGTAATGTCCAGCTACTCAGGATACTGAGGCAGGAAGAATCACTTTGAACCCAGGGAGTTTGAGATTGCAAGTGAGGCCCTTATGAGCCAATGCCACTCTAAGCTGGGCGTGACAGAGGAGACCTCTAAGCCTCAAAAAAAAAAAAGACCGCTAGGGCTCAAGTGAGAAAAGGAGTGGCAGAGATCACATTTAAACCTCAAAAGATGTTTCCCAACCACTGTCCCAGAAGCCTCCCTTGTTACTCCTGGAAGCCTCAAGCTGAGCTCAACAGGCTGAATCAGGCCCGGAGCACAGTGGGCTGCATGTCTGTATATCCTAACAGGCTCTGCGGAGGCTTGAGGCACCGGCCAGCGCGGATCACTCACACGTCAGGATTTTCCAAAACCAGTCTGCAGCCAACAGAGCCAGACCGCCGTGCTCTACAAAAATAGATAAGAATTAATTAGCCAACGTAAAATATATACCGAGAACAATTCCAGGAGGCTGAGGTGGGAGGATTGCTCAAGGTCAGGAGTTCAAAACACACCTGAGCAAGAGCAAAATCTTATCTACTAAAAATAGAAATTAATTGGCCAACTAAAAATAATAAAAAATTATTGGAATTACTTTGGGAAGAAAAAAAATTAAGCCGGATGGTGGCGCATGCCTGTAGTCCCAGCTACTTGGGAGGCTGAGGCAATAGGATTGCTTGAGCCCAGGAGTTGGAGGTTGCGTGAGCTGGGCTGACGACCGCGTATTTTTTCTATATATTTTTAGTTGGCTAATTAATTTCTTTCTATTTTTAGTAGAGACGGGGTCTGGCTCTTGCTCAGACTGGTTTCGAAATCCTGACGTTGAGTGATCGGCCTGCCTCAGCCTCCCAGAGTGTTAGGATTACAGACATGAGCCACTGTGCCCGACCTGATTCCCTTTGAGCTCAGCCCTTGAGCTTCAGAGTAACAAGGAGGCTCTGGACAGTGTTAGAACATCTGAGTTTAAGTGTGATCTCTGCCACTCCTTTTCTCACTGAGCCCTAGGGTCTTTTTTTTTTTTTTTTGAGGCAGAGTCTCCCTCTGTCACCCCAGCTAGAGTGCATTGGCTCATAAGGCTCACTGCAATCTCAAACTCCTGGGTTCAAGTGATCTTCCTGCCTCAGTATCCTGAGTAGCTGGACTACAGGTGCACACCACCACACCCAGCTAATTTTTTCTGTTTTTTATTTCAGTAGAGACAAGGTCTTGCTTTTACTCAGGCTGATCTTGAACTCCTTGTCTCAAGTGATCTTCCCACCTCAGCCTCCCAGAGTGCTAGGATTACAGGAGTGAGCCACCGTGCCTGGCCTCTTTTTTCATATAATGGTCATACTTATCCTACCCTTGAGAGGCTCCATCCAGGACAGATTGGATGAAACCTTGACTACAGCTAAAATATAAATGCTCTTGCCAGAGACTCCCCCTGCTGTCCTGGGTGAGAGGACACAGGACTCCACTTCTGATTGGCACCGCTCCCAGCCCTGCCTTGGTTGCCTGGCAACAGCTCTGCGTCTCTAACTGAGGAGACACCATGGCGGTTCCAAGGGCCAAGAGGGTAGTGGTGTACCGGAATGGAGACCCCTTCTTCCCAGGCTCCCAGCTGGTGGTGACTCAACGCCGCTTTCCCACGATGGAAGCCTTCCTCTGCAAGGTGACTTCAGCTGTGCAGGCCCCACTGGCTGTGCGTGCTCTCTACACGCCTTGTCACGGCCACCCTGTCACCGACCTGGCAGACTTGCAGAACGGAGGGCAGTATGTGGCTGCTGGGTTTGAACGATTCCACAAGCTGCAGTGAGTGGGCTGGGACTGGCCAAAGGGCCCGGGGAGGGCGGTGACAGCAACAGCAATGGCGTGCATTCAGTACTCACTGTGTGCGGACCAGGCACTTCATACATTTTCTTGCTTAACCCTATGAAAGGGGTAGTTTTTCCCTCCACTGGTTAGAAGGTGAAAACAGACTGAAAGAGCAAGGGGCTGGGGCCAGATAGCCTTAGAATCTAGGCAGGATCACTTCCTGTGCGACCTTGGTCAAGTCACTTAACTTCTCAAAGTCTCATACAAAGGGGAGAGAAAACCACTAGTTTCTCTTGACCTTTAATCTCATGGTTTGTGTTGAGACCCCAGCCTGGATTTCCAGACTGACCCAGCGCTTGAGGGATCCTAAGGCAGGTTCAAGTGCCAGTATCTGTTTCTGGACTGAGATGACAGACTATTCCAATGGGGAGGGATACCTGGTGAGCTGCCCCCCAGCCCACACTCTGGCAACTATTGGCTGCTGAGGCCTCAGACTCCCCAAGATGACCTGTGACCTATCTGTCCTTACAGCTATTTGCCCCCTGGAGGGAAGGACCCAGGTGGGAAGAGCAGCAGACTGCAAGTGAGTCCTGGGGGAGTCTGTCCCCCAGCCCGTCTTCTCAGTCCCCTGGGATTGCCCCCAATTTGGTCTGGGAAGTTGAGGGGCCCTGGAAGCAGCAGGATCTGCCAGTTCTGTGGGGGGCACTCTCCACACCTACTCTGGAGCCAGCCCCTACCCTTCCTGGGTGCAGGATTTCAAGACACTCCTTGCTCCTGTACCAGCCTTTCACTTTATCTTCATACTGTGGTCCCCAAGCAAAAGAGCAAGTTGTGAAACACAGATGGGAGCAGGGGATGTGACTCAGGGAATGTAGAAGCACCCTTTGGTGAAAGGTGTGACCAGTCTCAACCCTCCTTGCCCCCTCTCCTGCCCTAGTCTGGTTCTTGCCCCCTTACCCCACACACCCTGGACTGACCCAACCCTAACCAAAGGCCAACTCTCTCCTGATTGGGGTGCCTGGCTTGGGTTTCAGAGTCTTCCCGCAACTCGCTGCCTGTGTGACAGAGCCCTTGAACAGGGGCTGCCTGCAGGTGCCCCCTGCTGTATCCAGTGAGTGCCAATGTCGGGAGCAGGGGTATAGATTTATGTTTTAGTAAGACCAAGAAAATGGTGGTAGGCTTGTTCCAGAAGCCCTGGTTACTGGTGTGGATATAAAAACTCCAACATGCTCGATGGGTAAAAACAGACCATTGCAGTGGTTCTCAGACCAACTGCTGGCCCTGTGCCACCCTTCTTCCTCTCACATCGAGGGAGTCCTGGGGACCTTCCCCCTTACCAGGCTGCCCTTTTATCTCAGTATATTTAGGAATGGGGACCTGGTAAGTCCCCCATTTAGTCTGAAGCTGTCCAGGGCTGCCAGCCAGGACTGGGAAACCGTATTGAAGCTCCTGACTGAGAAGGCCAAGTTGCCGAGTGGGGCTGTGTGCAAGTGAGTATGGACTGGGGAGGCCCAAAAGTCCCCAGAGGGTCTCCCCACTGGTTTTGGCCGTTCCTGAGAATGAAAAGGCAAAAGGAAGGCATGTTCCTACAAGTGGGACTTCCTCCTACGCCAGAGGGAGAGGCCCCTCCAGCCCAGCCCTAGGAGGCAGGGCAGAGCCTGGGTGACTGGTGCCCGAAGGGCCAGAGGGCAGAGGGTACTTTGGAATAACCGTACCCACCGCTTCACAGACTGCTGAGCATGAAGAGGCATCTTGTCCACAGGCCCTGATCCTGCTCACCTCTCTCCCCCAGACTCTGCACCCTGGAGGGGCTCACGGTGTCAGCAGGGGAGGCTCTGGTGAGTGGCCATTACTATGTGGCCGCTGGAGAGGATGAGTTCAAGGCCCTCCCCTATCTGGAGCTGCTGGTGCCCTGCCCCTCCCTGCCCCGGGGCTGCTGGTACGTATGTGGGAGGGGGAGGGGTAACAGGTGGGAGCAGCAGAAGCCATCCTCTGGGGCTGTGTGCGTTCACTCCATGTCCTCCTGTGCCCACTGCCAGCCTCTCTTTCTGTCATTGTAGGCATCCTCCAGGCCGGAAGTCCAGGCCCCACAGGCAGGGGGTAGGTGATGCAGGGGACTATGGGGTGGAAGGAAGGGTAGTGACTGACAACTTTTCCAGCTCAGGCTCTGACCTTATTTCACTGCATCCTCTTATTTATTTATTTATTTTTTTGAGACAGAGTCTCACTCTGTTGCCTGGGCTACAGTGCCATGGCATCAGCCTAGCTCACAGCAACCTCAAACTCCTGGGCTCAAGTGATCCTCCTGCCTCAGCCTCCCAAGTAGCTGGGACTACAGGCATATGCCACCATGCCCGGCTAATTTTTCTATATATTTTTAGTTGGCCAATTAATTTCTTTCTGTTTTTAGTAGAGACAGAGTCTCGCTCTTGCTCAGGCTGGTTTCGATCTCCTGACCTTGAGCAATCCACCTGCCTTGGCCTCCCAGAGTGCTAGGATTATAGGCGTGAGCCACCACGCCCAGCCTTAATAATCTTGTGAAAGATTATCTCCATTGCCCAGAGGTGGAAACTGAAGCTCAAAGGAGTAAAGTGATTTGTTCAGGGTGATACAGCTATTGAGTGGCAGGGGCCAGACCAGAACGCTGATCTTCAGGGCTGATTTGTAGGACTTAATGCTGTCTTGCTGGGTTGGATGCCGGGAGAAAGAACTAGCATATGTGGCAGAGCAGGGTCCAGGGAACTTATTTCAGGCCTAAGCCTGTCCAAGAGATGAGCCAGAGTGCATGGGGGCAGAGGGCACACAGTCTGGTTTCACTGAGCAGCTACAATGCCAGGTTCCAGCTGCTCTGTCCCTGGATGAGGCAGCCTGGTGAGAAGAGGTAGCAGGGAGGGAGGATGAAGGCTGGGAAGACGGATGGCATCTCCTCTCCAGCTCCCACAGGCATCAGGGGCACTCTGAAGCCTGAACTGTGGAAGGGGAAAGGTAAGAACAGCCAGCAACCGGGTCCAACCAGTGTCCCTTCTATAGGCCCATGGCCACAGGGCTCAGGCAACCCAGCCCTCTCCAGAGGAACCAGGCCACAGTGAGCCATCTGCTTTCTATGCCAGACCCCAGCAGGACATTCAGCCAAGAAGCACGCTCCCCACACTCTCGTTCCTGTCAGGTGAGGGGCCCCTGGGCCCCAGGCCTTTCTCAGCCACCTTTTGACAATGACAAGGGATGGCCCCTGCTGTTGTTGGGGATGTCTGTGGGGGCTGAATGCCCAGGCAAAGAGCTGGCCATGACCTCAGCACAAATGTCTCCTACTCCCCCATCTGCATATCCAGTCCCTTGCTTCTTCATGGGGACTGTCCTTATGAAAAGCACACAGAAAGGGCATGCTTATCTCAAAGTGCTGAGACTTCAGGGGTGGGACTTGGAAGGGCTGGGCATGGGGCCAAAGGCCTTGCCTCTCAACTATCCTGGAGGTAGTGGGGAGTTTGGAACAAGGCTGGGGAGGGTAAGAGACTGGTAGGGAAGGTCAAGGGAAAGAAGGCTGAGGGCCCCTCAGGCTGGGCATCAGCCAATGCTGCCTCCCCATTAGGAGTTAAGGGAGTGTACGGGGCTCCCCACCCGAGGTGGCAGACAGCAGGGGCCCAGGAAGTAGCAGATAATGAAGACACCCAGACAGAGGAGCCCTTGGATCGGGTAAGCCATTGGATCAGGAAGTAATATTTGGGTTGGGAGGATTTCCCAGCCAGAAACTGGCCCCCTTGGGCCCTAGGAACAGTTCTTCACCCTTGCGACCATACACAGATCTCCTAACGTCTCAGAGCCTGACTTCCTACCTTGGTAATTGAGGAAGCAGTTCCCAGTTTCTCAGATCTCTTCCTTTCCAGGGGTTAGGGGCATCCTGGCTGAGGGCTGGAAGCTGGACATACTCATGGCTCCATTCTGTATGACTTCCCACCTCCTCTAGACGGTGGCAGAGACAGTGGAGGAGGCCCTGTCCCTGGAAAACCAGCCTGGGGCTGGGGCTGCAATCTCAGCCTCAGCCCCTGTTCTGCCATCTTGAGAGCCAGCAGCTCCAGACAGGAACTGGGGACAACCACTCTAGCTACCTTTTGTCTTCAGCTTCCAGCAGCCTGTCCCTGAGAAGCCAGCTCCTCCCCTGGGCTCACAGGGTACATCTTCCTCTCCTAAACCCACAGCCCAGTCTCCCCTTCCTTCCTGAGCAGAGCAGGAGCAGGTTTGACACAATAAAAGAATACTTACTAAATTGTCTGTTTACTACAGATTTATTGAAGGCTCCCACTTGCCAAGTGTTGCACTGGGTGCTGGAGTGAGGCAGTGCTGGGGCTGAGTTGTCTCCCTGTTTAAGAGGGGCTGGCAGTGAGGATTTCTGCCCACCTTGCAGATGAGACAGGCAAGGTGGACGGAAATCTCTTCTCCTACGTTTGCCACTGTGATGCACCTTCTTCCCCTCAATCCCACCCTTCAGTCAGCCCTGGCCCTGTGATCCAGCCCAAAGGCCTCCTATTTGCATTTCCGGCTCAAAGACTGCAGCTGGCCCTTCCATACAGCCCATTGAACCTACAGCCCTGATAGTCCACATCAGGCCACAGTCATGGTGGCTGGCTGGTGCTCGAGATGACAACAGGAAGAAAGCTGCTGGGTGTGAAGGTTGCTGAGGGTGAGCATAAAGTCTCCTGTGCCAAAGTCAGCTGTTCAGCAGCTAAACACCACTTGAAGGTTACAAAAACTTTTCACTCTAGTTTCTTATTGCGATCCACGAGGTAGCTATTATCACCATGAGAGATGAGGATGCTGAGGCTCAGAGAGGGAAGTGCTAGGTCCATCTGCTCACTGCCTGCACCTCACAGCCCAAGGGCTTCCTGGAGATGGCAGAGCTGGAGGCAGGGGTTGGCCTACTCAAAGAGTAGACGGTTGCCCCTGGGTCTTGCTCACTGAGCTTGTGATGCAGAGTGTAATTCCTATCACGGTGAGCACCATGCCAGCGACTGCTCCTGGGATAATGGGCAGAAATCAAGAAGCTCTGAGCCCAGCCATGCCAGAGCTGGTACAGAGCTGGGGGAAGGGCTCAGATGGGGTCTCGCCTCAATTCCTGCCCAGCCTCTGTCCCCAGACTGCCCAGGGAAGGAAACTGATGGCCACAAGGAATCAGGAGAGCTGCAGAAGAAAGAGGCAGGATAGGAGAAGGCCCTTTCCTCACCCGTCCCTGGGAGATGGGCTCAAGAAAGAACTAACCCAGGTATGTCAAGGCCCAAGTAGCTGGGGCCCACACTCACAGCAGCCTGACTTACGTTTTCCACCAATATCTTCTCCAAGGACCTTCCCAACAATCAGCGTGAAGACAATGGCCAGAGAGTTACAGATGGGTACAGCTAAGGTCAGATCTGGGTGGGTTAGAATGAGAAGAATTCCTGAGATACTATTTATCCCTGAGAAAATAAGCCTTCCTAGGCACAAAACACTTTCGTTTCAACAAAGTGCTAGGTGCTTTGTGCACATTTCTCATTTAATTTTCACAACAACACTGTAAGGAGAGAATTACCACCATTTTGCATAAATAAAGAAAACAAAAGCTCAAAGAAGTCACATAAATTGAAGCAAATTGAGGATTTAAACCAAGGTCTAGAGCCTGGCATGGTGGAGTGTACCTGCAGTCCCAGCTACTTGGGTGGCTGGGGTGGGAGGACAGTTTGAGGCCAGTTGTTTGAGACCAGCCTGAGCAAAATAGTGAGACCCTGTCTTTAACAAAACCCAAAAAACAAACCAAGGTCTTCCTGACTCCAAAGCCTGCGCCCTTATTGAACTAAATAGACGTGGACAAATATCAGGTGAAGCACATTTAGTTTTTGGTTCAGCTCATGCTCAGGCCTTATAGAGTTAAAGAAAAGAGAGGAAAACAATGTCAGAAGGAGGAGGACAGATACCTGTTCAGGACATTGGGCTTGGCCTCTAGTTGAAGTCACCATAGCCCAGGATTTGTTCCTCCAAGGGACTGACGTCCAATAAGCAAACTTGAAAAAGACTAATGGAGTTAGCAACACTATATTGTACACTTAATATGTGTTACAAGGATAGAGCTTATGTTAAGTGTTCTTGGCCGGGCACAGTGGCTCACGCCTGTAATTCTAGCACTCTGGGAGGCCGAGGCGGGCGGATTACTCGAGGTCAGGAGTTCAAAACCAGCCTGAGCAAGAGCGAGACCCTGTCTCTACTATAAATAGAAAGAAATTAATTGCCAACTAAATAATAGAAAATTAGCTGGGCACGGTGGCGCATGCCTGTGGTCCCAGCTACTCGGGAGGCTGAGGCAGAAAAATTGCTTGAGCCCAGGAATTTGAGGTTGCTGTGAGCTAGGCTGATGCCACGGCACTCACTCTAGCCTGGGCAACAAAGCGAGACTCTGTCTCAAAAAAAAAAAAAAAAAAAGTGTTCTTATCACACTAAAAAAAGAAGAAAAAGAGAAAAGAACCATACACACTAATGGATAAATCAGAAGCTGAGTTTATAACGAGACTCCTAACTGCCAGGCAGACCCGGATGCTCAGGTTGGCTCCTCGCACATTCTTTCCCAGTACTCTCAAGCCTCACTTGCTTGAGGTAGAAGAGTGGGTACTGTTCTGCTCCTCATTCCTTCTGAGGCCCTAGCATGGTTGGCAGTACTCATTCAAGAAATGGATATAACACTCCGACCTACCCAGTGCTGCTTTCTTAAGTTTACATACCTACATGGCCGCTGAGGTTTGAACAGCAGAAGCGGGAAGGAAGCAGTGTGGTGCAATGGGAGTGAGGCTGACCTAGATTTCCCTTGGTAATCTTGGTTAGCTCATTCAAACACTCTGAGCCTGTTTCCCCACATGTAAAACAGTGATTGCGACATACCATCTCCTTTGTAGCATTGTTGTAAGATGGACTATGATAATGCATGTATAGACCCTGGCTAAAGGAGATGCTTAATGAATAGTGATTATTGTTATAATTATTAAAAGGGATGGTTTTCCAATAACAGAAGACTCAAAAAAAAAAAAAAGGAAAGGAAAATAAAATTAAAAAACCCAAAAACAAACAAATAAAAAATAAATAAAATAAAAGGGATGGTTTTGTGTATTTTTTTTTTTTATAGATGGGGTCTTGCTATTTTGCCCAAGCTGGCCTCGAACTCCTACCCTAAAGTGATCTTCCTGCCTTGGCCTTACAAAGTGTTGGGATTACAGGCATGAGCCACTCCACCCAGCCTAAAAGGATGAATATTAAAGCACACAGGCAGAGAGGGTGCTGAAATAATAGGATCCTAGAATTGCAATTTGCTCAAAGCTTCATAAATGGCAAGCTGCAGTCAGTTGGCTGAGGGTTCAGCATTCTTCCACCACAGCAAATTCATTAAGCCAAAGGCTTTCAAATTCATTAAATGAAGTCTCATGAGAAGCCCAAAATGTAAACCAGATGAAAGCAAATGACTCTAGTTGAACTGAGGTGGCACATCTGGAGGCTGTCCTATGCCCTTGCCCTCCCATAGCCTCTGATAGGTTCCCCAGAGCTTTTGGGGCCCCAAGTCCCCTGGGGGTCTGGGTGAGACCCCAGCAGAGGCAAAATCACAGTTGGAGGACTTCTCATAGCAAAGTTCAAGAGGATAACCTTTAATATGGCTTTATATCCTTCTGCACTGGCATGCTGTAGGACTTAAAAGAGGTAAAATAAGTTGCCCAAAGTTTCATAACTTCATCTCCTAAATGAAGATAATCATGTCTGCTTCACAGGATCATTATGAAAATTAAATAAAACATGTAAGACTAGCACAACATCTGATGCAGTAGAGGGCAGTCAACAAATGTTGAGAGAAAGGACATCTGTATTTATCAAGCTCTGACTGTGAGCCAAGCACTCTGCTAGATGCTTCTCATACATTGAATTTAATCCTCACAATGCTATGAAGCCAATGGTGTAAAACCAAGACTCAAATGAGGGCCTTGCTCACGGTTAGGTGGGTAGCACACAGTGGAAGCAAGAGTGTCAAAGCCAGCACTTGGTGCAGCAAAATGAACCTACCTTCTTTCTCTGCTGCACAAGACTGCCAGTTTTAAACCAACCCCAGTGTGTGGCAACATACCAGCCTACTGTGTCCCTACTGCTCAGAGAAGAGGGGACCAAGAAAGAACAAGGGATAGTCAGCTCCCCCTCACTGATGAGAACAAGGTGTTTCAGAGTCCCTCTCCACAATGACCCTCTCAGATGGCCTCTACCACTAAGCAGAGAAGTTCCAAGCCAGAGACCCACCTGTTGATGCCAAGGTGAGGTAGTAGAGAAGGGAGCCACACTGGTTGAGGAGAAAGGGCATCAGGTACTAGAAACAGGAGAAACCTTCAGTCAGTGTGATGGCTTGACAAAGCAGTACTGCCTTCTTTGAGCTTCTAGCATATACCTTTCCTTGGAGGGAGGGATGGTTATAAAGGCCCAGGGAACACTAACCCTCTGAGAACGACCCTTCAAGGGCAAAGAGGGAAACAGACTGAACTCCATGCCTTTGCCCTAACTGCCCCCCTCCCTCGGCTCTGCTAGTTCTCATCCTTCCCCCATCCTGCAAGGCCTTGAATGCCAATGTCATCCCCTCCAAGAAGCCTTCCCCAAATCCCCTAGCTTCAGCCCTCCTAGTCTGAACAGCACTATGTCTGAACCTCCCTTATAGTCCTTAGTCCTAGGAAGTGGCTGTGTTCATGTCTTGTCTTTCCTACTAGCCTAGTTTGGCAGCAATTTTCCATATCCCTCCTTATCCTCCCCCTACCCAGTCCAATTTGAGCCTCAAGCCCTCCTTCTGGAAAGGGTCACAACAGTTGCCTTGACCAGGTGTGGTGGCTCACACCTGTAATCCCAGGACTTGGGAGGCCGAGGTGGGAGGATCGCTTGAGGCCAGCAGTTCAAGACCAGCCTGGGCAACCTAGTGAGGCTCCATCTCTACAAGAAACAAGGAAAAATTAGCTGAGCTTGGTAGCACATGCCTTTAGTCCCAGGTACTTGGGAGACTGAGGCAGGAGGATCGTCTGACCCCAGGAGTTTGAGGCTGTAGTGAGCTATGATCCCACCATTGTGCTCTAGTATGGAGAACAAAGCAAGACCTTATATCTTAAAAAACAACAACAACTAAGTGCCATGTATAATTGAAAGGATCACAATAATAAAATATTAATAATAGCAGCCATAGATTGAGGACTTATGTGT